GCCTGGAAAGGGGCATACTGTACAGGAAGGTTAGAAAGGGGGGCTGGGGCAAGGTTGGAAAAGGTTTAACACCCAGGTAAAGAAGTTGTAGTTGTTACTACCGAGGAGCCACTGGAGCTGACTGAGTAGGAGTACGACAGTCAGGTTGCAATTTAGGAAAATCCCTTTGGCAGCTGATCGGAAGATATAAAAAAGGCAGAGACCTGAGGCAGCAAGACCAAATACAGCCAGTGTGACCTTGGTAAGGACACTTTCCATGCCCTGTTCATCTCATTTATAACACCGAGATTGAATCAACCAGCAATTCTCCAACTTTTTGGTCTCAGGACCCCCTTGAGACTTCAAAATTACTTAGCTCTCCCACAGAGCTTTGGTTTATACGGGTTAGATTTACAGATTTTTACCAAATTAGAAATGAAAAGGTTTTGGTATTATTCTGAAGATAGGTTTGACCTCATGGACTCCCAGAAAAGATTTTGGGAAACACATTGAGAACTGGTAGACTAAGTCAACTTTTAAGGTACCTTCTAGCTCTGGTTCTGTTATCTTATGAATCCTCTAACAACCCTGTGAGGTAGGCAGTGACAGCATTATTATCCCCTTTTAATAGGAAGGAAGGAAGGAAGGAAATGAGCATTTATTAAGTACTTACTATCTTCCAGGCACTTTACAAATATCATTTCACCCTGGAAAATGGATGCTATTATTTTTCCCATTTTTCAGTTGGGGAACTAAGGCAAGCAAAAGGTAAAAGACTTGCCCAGACTCACACCGATACTAAGTATCTGAGACTGAGAAGATTTGAACTCAGGTATTCCAGGCCCAGCACTCTATCCACTGTTCTACACAGCTGCCTTTCCAGATGGGGAAACTGAGGCTGGGAGGCCAACTAAATGGTCCAAGGTGACCCAGCATTCAATAAGGTTCTTTCTACCACACCTGGCTGCCTCTCATTTGAGCCCGTACTCTCATGTTATTAATGATTACCAGACCCATAGATGAACTCATTCAAATTCTTCTACCCCCGACGGAGTGCCTCTTCAGAAAGGTAGGCTTCCAGTGTCTGCATAACCTGCCGGTAAGGGTGCCCTTCAGATTCACGTCCTGGAATTCCCTTCCCCCTCCACCCTGTGGGCTCATTTATCCATTCCAGGTATTCACTCTTCATTCCTGTTGGCTTTTATGAAAGAATGTCAGCCATGTGAAGGAGGCATTCCAAGGCCTGAAACAATCCAGGGCCAGGACTGGAAGGCTGAGTTTCAGAACACTTTTTTTTTTAAACTGGAGTTTAGAGGAGAATGGGGAGTGGTGTGGCCTTTCAGCATTACACAGTTTTGTCTGGGGTTTCGTCTACCTTTGCAGGTAATTAATTACCTAGCCTGTTTATTTTTCTAGTTGACTCTTGTTTGGTTTCCACAAAGCCCCACCCCACGGCAGTAGTATTTGTCCCTTGCCTGACTATTCCTACATATGGTCAAAATCAACTTACCTTCCGGGTTGCTGACATGGGCAAATTTACTGTTGGCAGCCACCGGCAGCCTCCCAGTAACCCTTTGTTTGGGGAATGTTATTACAATCCAGCACATCTGATAGCACACGTACTGTCTGCATCTCCAACCATTAGAGAAACCACCATCGGCCTATTTGGATTTGGAACCACGACTGTGAAGATTCAAAGAGAGGAGAAGCTTGGGGCTATCCCAGGCGGCTTGGTTAGAGCTAGCTGTCCTCAAAAGAAACTTGCCTTGAAGTCAGGAGACATAGGTTCAAATCTCCCACTGCTTCTGTTTAGGAAGAGTATTCCTTTTCACAAAGCCAATTTCTTGACGAAATTATTTATTGCCTTTAAGCTTCACAAAAATCTTTCGACAGGGGTGGTACAAAGTTTAATATCCTTATTTTACAGATGGGGAAATTGGGGCCCGAAGATGGGAAGTGACCTGCCCAAAGTCACATGGACAGCAGGTAATAGAGGTAGGCAGTCTGGGATAGAAGGAAAAGCTCCCCATTTAATTAGAGGGCTCTGGGTTCAAATCTTCTGTTACACTCCTTTTATTTGCTTGTTGACTCTGCCTTCAGAGTATGAGATCTTTGAGGGCAGGGATTATGTTTTTGGCTATCTTGGCATCTCCAGGCTTAGCCCAGTGCCTGAGGAATGGCAATTACTTAATAAATGCTTGTTGACTGACTTGTGTGACTCAATCTGCCTAGGCTTCAGTTTCCTCATTTGTAAAATGAATTGGATCAGGCATTAGACTGCCTTCTAACTCTAGACCTATAACCCAATGTTTCTGGAGTAGCAAGCACACAGCCTTCTTCTCTCATTACAAGCTGTGTGACATGCAGTAAATCAGCCACCTTCTCCAGCCTCAGTGTTCTCATCTGCAAAAGTCAGTCTTTTGTGCACTTGCCCATCTTACAGGGCTGGTATACAGGGAAGAATACTTTGCACACTTTAAAGCTATAGAGAAATGTTCCTCTGTTGCTATAACGGAAAGGGTCCCAGAGTCAGAGCCAAGCAATATAGGTTAGAAACTTGGCTCTGAAACTTCTAATCATGTGATCACCATCCAGTCTCTCTCCCAGTCAGAGCCAGTTTTCCTCCTCTGTAAAATGGGGATGATAACACATTCACTCACTACCCACCTCCCAAACTACTTCACTATGAGGATCAAACCAACTTGTGTAAACAAAGTACCTTCTTACATTTCAAAACTAGTTTATAAAATATTTCCCTGGTTTTACTGTTTGATTTAATCCAAGTGGGTCTTGGGAGAAAAGAGCTCCCTTTCTTTACGTTGTTTCATGCATCTCCTGCCTCATGCTTTGTAGCTTTATGACCCTCTCTGAGCCTCAGTTTCCTTATTTATAAAATGGGGATAATACATCATTCAAAAAGGGTTGGACTCAGTGGCCTCTCAGGTGCCTTTAATTCTAGATCTATGATTCCTTGATCCTCAGGTCATTGAGAAGATCAAAAGGGATACTGTACATAATGCACTTCTCTAACGTTAAAGCCCTCTACTTAAACGGCAGCTCTACTATCTCTTTATCTCCCAATAGACAAAATTTGAGTTTAACCCTCAAAGCTGAGTTTCAGTTTCCATCCTAATCATCAGCTTACTTGTTAGGATTCTCCAGCTGATCTTCCCAGGGCACTCAGATGATTGTTGTGTGAAATTAGTCCTTCAATAATATAATGGTAAATGAAAGCTAATTGAGACATTTCAAACATGGAAACTTCTGAAATACTAGCAAACTGATTTCCCCTAACATATCATGGGTGCTTGTTTCAGGGGGAAAAAAATTATTTTCTCCTCTTGGGTACCAGAATTTGGCCAGTTAGATATGTTTGAAAATGTTGCTTTTAAAATTATAACAAGGTCAGGTGAGCTATTTTCCTAATATTACTTTGGGACGCAGCTGGCCTAGCTAACTAAAAGAGCTAGAGCAAGTGTTTGAGCTCCGAGGATTAAGCTGTGGAGCAGTTTTCTCTACCTCTGGGCCTCAGTTTCCACGTAGAAAATGCAGGCAATATTTACAGCTACCTCTTAAGAGGGTCCTCTTGAGACAGATGTCCTGTACATCATAAACTACTATAGAAAACACCCGTTCTTCTTGCTGGGATTTTCTTAAGCCCTTTACCTCTCAGCTTCAGGTAAGAATTAGCTAGATGACTTACTGTAAGACACTCCCCTTTAACCCTTATGATTCTAGAAGTTATTCGATTAGCAGGTTGAATGAAAAAAAATATTCATCAAAGGGAAAGGAAGTCACAATCTCTAAAGGGTTAGTGAATGACTTTATTGTGACAACAGCACTGTCATAAATATTCACAAGCAAAGATCATCTTGTTTTTTACCTACAAAAAGGACACACCAGTTGGAGTAAATCCTGTACCTTCCCGGGTCTAGGACCAGTTTGGAGAGGAGCAGCTTTTGTCCAAGAGCCAATCACATTAGGAGCTGTAACAGCACATGGCTTTGGATAGGATCCTACACTTCAAGGCTGCATCCTTGAAAGCTGGGAGCTGTCAGTTTCATAAACAATCATGTGGGGATTCTTGGAGGGGGAGGGGAAGAAGAAAGAGAACACACTTTGGTAGTATTACACTCATCAGGCACGTGTCTTTCCACAGCAAAGGAATGGCTGGTTGGTCCCCACTTCCTCAAAGCAGGTAGTGCTTTTTCGAAGAGGGAAATTTAAGGAAGCCCTCAAATCTTAAAGCCCAGCTTTTGCCCCACCCCCACCCCTAGGACTACTAAAACTGTACAATGCATAAAAAGATGGGGTGGGGGTAGAATAGTTTAACATTTTATTGTATTTTCTTAAATATAATAGATCCTTTCTGGAATTTTCAGAAACAAAAAGCATAAAAAAATTATATACTTTATTACAAAGGGTAAATATACCCAGAGTGTTCCAAATCTCTTATTTACAAACAATGCTTGGTAGGGCCCAAACGGAACAAGACAAAACATAAAATAACTTACAAAGGCATGAAGCTGTTTATTGACATTAATCAGCTTTCATAAAATAAAAAAAATAGATATATACATACACAGTTAACTGAAAGACAGGCAAGTGGAGTCCATGGTATTCTTTACCCTTCCACCCCCCCTTCTTTTTCTCTTAAGAAACCTCCCTCCCGCCCCTCCCTCCCAGTTTTTTAAAGAGTACTACAGAAGCAAACTACAGTCTCTATTGAAGTTTTTTTTTTCTTTTTTAAACCTTTTAATACTGAATGATCATCGAATGTTAGAGGTCCATGCAGTTCTTGGTCAATGTTAAACACGGAGCTGACAGGTTCTGCCCTCCAGGTCCGGCAGGGAGGGTGGGGGGTGGGGCCATCCCTTTCTGCCAAGTGGTACTGTTGCGGGGCTTGGCCACTCCGGACTAGCTCAAGGCCGAAGGCTTGGCCAGTCCTGCCCCGACATGTGCGTGGAGGGGCGGGTAGGGGGCGGCCCAGTCCGAGGCTCAACACGGATCAGCTTGATCTATCGTCTCTCTGACACTTCGCTGTGCCTGTCTGTCTCTCTTCCAAATGCAACCAACGCGTCAGTCCAACCAAGTCCGTCTCTTGTCTCCCAGGGCTGCTCAAAACGTTTGCAACTGTTGCGTTAACATGAGCTGGCAGCCGCTGTTCACGTGGTTCATGACTTTCTGCTTCAGCTGGGCCACCTGTTCCCTGAGCATGTTGGCCGTGGACGCCAGCTCCGAGTTCTGGGCTTTCAAAGTTTTCACCTTTTCCTCCAGTCGGGCGATTCGCTCGAGTTTCCTTTTCCGGCACTTGGACGCAGCGATGCGGTTCCTCATTCGCTTCCTCTCGGCCTTGATGCGCTCCTGGGACTCCATGTCGATAGGGGACAGCGGCGGGGTCTCGCCGGGCATCTCGGGCACCGTCTGCGGCTCCTCCTTGAGCGCCTGCAGCCGGGGGTGCTGCACGCCCGGGAGTTGCGGGCCCAGGGGAGGCTGCGGGTTCGCCTGCTGCGCCTGCTGCTGCGGGGCCGTAGGCTGCGGAGGGAAGCCCAGGCTGCCGCCACCGGCCCCGGCACCCCCGCTGGCGCCGCTGTAAGCGGGCGCGGTGCCCAGCGCGGAGCTGGGGGTGAAGTTGCTCAAGTTCGCGTAGACCGGGGGCTCGCTGTGCAGGCCGCCGAAGCCCCCGGCGCCGCCGCCGCTGCCAGCTAGGGCGGCCACGGGGGGAGCCACCATGCCCGCGGCCACCGAGGCGTTCCCGGGCTGCGCGGCGGCCGCAGAGGGGACGCCCGGGAGAGTGTTCTGGCTGTGCAGCTCGGCCAGGGCGCGCACGAAGCCCTCCGCGAAGCCCTCCTGCTCGTCCGTCACGTTCTTCGGGCACAGGAACTGTGTGGGCGTGGGCGTGGTGGTGATGAGCCCGTTGCTGGACTGGATGATCAGGCGCTCGAGCTCCGGGGAGGCGAGCTTGAGCAGCCCCACGTCGGGCGAGGTCAGCAGGTCTGGGTTCTTGTTGCGCAGGTGAGGCTTGAGGCTGCTCACCGGGTCAGCCAAGTTCAGGGTCAGACTCTGCTTTAGCACCTTGGCATGGCTGTAGCCGTAGCCGCCGCTCTCGGGCTGCACGAAGGCGTTGAGGGCATCGTCGTAGAAAGTAGTTTCCATCTTTGTAGTCATAGAACAGAGCAGGTCCCCTCCAAGCTGGCCGAGCGTAGACGTCGGTCTGTCCGTCTGTCTGAACGCCCGCCTGCCGCGACTCGCAAAGTTTAGCAAGGAGAGGCCGGTTTAGGAAAGGGACTGCCCGGGGAAGAGTTCAGCACACCGACTCAGCCAGGGGGTCGAGAGCCCCACTCCCGGCTCGGCCACGAGGAGCACTCACTCCGCTGCCTCCTGTCCCGCGCGCGCTCCTCGGCTCCCGTTTGAAAAGTGGCGGCGACGGTGCGTCCGGCTGGATGCGTCCCCTTCTCTAGGTGAGTGTCCGGCAGCGGGGCCAAGCGGGTGACAGCGGCTCTCCCGGGCACGGGCGAGGGAGCCCGGCCGGGGGGTAGAGGACAGCGAGGACGGGAGGTCAGCCGCAGCCCCCTCGAAATCCCAGTCCGCGGCGGCGTCGGTCCCCTCCTCCTCCGGGCTGGCAGCGGGCGGAGGGCGGCTGCTGCGCTCCCGAGCGCGGCTCGGGTCAGGGGCCGCAGCGGCAGCCCCTTCCTCACTCTCCTCTGCCTGCCTCCGGATCGGGGTGCCCGCCCGGCTCCCCCGCTCCGAGAGCGCTGGGCTTCGCCAAAAGTTCACTGCGGGCTCCGAGAACCACTTGTGTCTCCGGGAAAAGTAGCGTGCGGGGCAGCAGCCCCTCGGCCGAGTTGTGTGTGCGCGGAGACGGGAGCCGGGGCACAAGCCTGGGTCCCCCCGAGCTCGAGCTCCTGGGCAGCAGCAAAGAGGAGTCTGGTGCTGGCGGGACGGCTCGGGGAGCCCCGCACTGCACTGCACTGCACCGGCGGGAGGGCACGGGCTGGACTGAACGGACGTCGGGGGCTGCCTGCAGTTGCCTGGGACCCCTGTCTGTCTGCTGCCTGCCTGCCTGTCTTGCTCTCTGCCCGTCCCGCGCCGCTCTGGCTGGGCTCTCTCGGCCACACTCAGTACAACTCTGAGCCCGTCTCCAGCTCGGAGCTCAACACTTATCTGCTACCAGTCACCCCCTAAAAATAGCCCATGATGTCACCCCCGCGCCTTCCCATTGGCCCGCGTCGCCCTCAGGGGGGTGGGCCCGCCCGTCGCCATGGAGACCCCACCCTAGAAGATTCTTCTCCCGGGCCCCGCGGAGGCTCACGGGATGAGGTAATGCTCCGCTGCCCTCCTACAGTCGGGCCCTTCTTTCTCCCCGCGCTCCCCCCTCCCCTCCCCGGCCCGCCCCGGCCCGCCCGGTGCATTGTGGGCTGACGTCTTGGGGTTGGACTGTCTAGTGACGGTGGTCTGGCGGCTGGGGCGGAGGCGGGCTCAAGTTCTAGGTTCGGTGGGGGTGGGGGCAGGGAAAGGCGGGAACGCTCCGAGGGTCTGAGGGCCGTTACCAGGCGGGAGGGCGGAGACAAGGGACTGTCAATTCTCTTCTAGCGTCCGAAGACCCGGGGACAGGGGGCTTCCCCAATGCCTTTGGCCTTAAGTTTTCAGTAACTTGTCTTCGCGCCGCCTCCCACCCCGCGTCCGGGGACCCATTGGTACCGTCCTTAAGGTGGTTCGGTCCCTAGGGGCGGGGAGCCGGAGGGAGAGCGGGGGGGGGGGCGGGGTGTGAGGTATCGCGAGATCTGCTCCCTCCCTCTCGCAGCGAATACAAACAAACTTGGGTCCCGGTGAAGTTGGGGCACGGAAGCGGCTCGGAGTGTCCGCTCGATGGACCGGACGAGCGCGCTGGCATCGTCACCCGAGCGCCGCGGGGAGGGTGGGGAGGAGAGGCCCATTTTGCAGATGAACAAACTGAGGCAGGGGGGATGGAGGAAGAAGGTGGCGGACCCCGCTCTGGAAGGGACCCCAGGACATCCAGTCCGCGCCCTGCCCCCGTCACTTTGACACAAGGAAAACGTCCCGGGACTTGTCCCGAATCACACATCTAGAAAGCATCAGGAAGGAATTTGAACCCAGGACGTTACACTTGAGGGACAGGGCAGGGCAGGCAGTGGCCACGGTGCTGACCTGCGAGGGAGGAAGACCTAGGATCGAAGTGTTACCCTGTGACCCAGAGCAACTCACGTAATGCCATATGCTTTTCTTTTATTAAGCGCCTACTATATGCCAGGTTCTGTGCTCAGCGCTGGGGGAAAAAGGGCCCAAGATTTTACAACTTTTACCCCTCCCCCTTTAGTTACCTTTTGTGTGTCGTCTCCCCCTACCCTCACCCCGTTAGAATTCAAGCCCTTTGAGGGCAGGGACTGCTTTTCCCTTTTCCCGTCGCGTAGCACACAGTAAGCGCTTAATAAATGCTTGTTTCCTTAACCTTTCTGAGCCGGTTTCTTAACCCGTAAAAAGGTGGAGAGGCTCTAGGGGGGACGAAAGTAGATGGCTTTGGAGCCCTCAACTAACTTTAAATCCCTTCTCTAGTTCCAACACTAGCCTTGTGACTTCAGGCGAATCATTTCCCAACTATGAAACTGGGAAGAATAGACAGCACCTGCCTCCCAGCAGAGTCGTTTTGAGGATCAAATTAGTTAACATGTAAAGCAAGTTTGCAAACCTTAGAGATCTATAGAAATTATTTTTATTAGGAATGATGCTAAGTAATACTTGTTAATATTAATAGCAACATAGTATCAATTAACGAATGAAACACAGACCCGTTAGTAAAGTGAGGGAGAGATATCCTCTGAGATCCCTTCCAGCTCAAAAAGAGATCTGTCTTATTTAACTGAGGGAAACTGAGACCCCGAGAGAGGGGCAGTGGCTTGTCCCAGGTCACAGCGCAGATTAGTGGCTGAGCCAGGGTTCCCACCTTGGCTGGTACTTTCTAACCCCAGGGTGGCTTCTATTACCCTGAGAACTCTGACCTTCGAATTCCAGACCCTGGCTTGGTACATGTACGACGCCTTATTCAATTCGAGGTCAGCCTTCCTAGCCGCAGTGGTTGCTAAGCTGTGAGAATTCCTTAACGCCCGCCCACGTCGGGAGATCGAAACCCATTTAGGACAGCCCGAGGCTTCGAGAGGTCGGCTGTCTGTAGTTGGCGGGTGGGATTTGAATCCAGGTTTTTTCAGACCGGTAGCCCAGCAGTCTCTCTCTGTGTCTCTCTCTCTGTCTCTCTCTCTCTCTCTCTTGTCTCTCTCTGTCTCTGTCTGTCTGTCTCTGTCTCTGTCTCTCTGTGCGCGCGTATATACACGCGTATACACACACACACACACACATATATATACATATATATACATACATATATGTGTGTATGTGCGTGCATGTTGTGGAGATCAAAGTAGTTACTATGTAAAATCGAGTTAATATTAATAGCTAACATTTACATAGCGCTTTGAAGTTTGCAAAGCAGTTACAAATATCAGGTAATTTGATCCTCCCAACCGTACTAGCATCTCTATGAGGAAACTGAGTCAAACCGAAGAGATTTGCCCAAGATCACACAGCTACTAAGTGCCTAAGGCAAGATTTGAACTTGGGTCTTTTTGACCGTACCTAGATTTGGGGGGAAAAGAAAGGGAAAGTGGGATTAGTTTTCAGAGGAAATAAGATAGGTAGCAGAAACTTAGCATCTAGAGCTTGGAAAATGTCCATCAATGAGTGTAGTAAAGACCCTGGGGCTGGATGTAGGTACAGAAAAATATAGGGAAAACAGCAGTGTCTTTGGAGTGAGAGGACTTGGTTTTCATTCTTGCCCCCAATGAGTAATACCCTGAGACTTGGGACAAGTCACCTAGTCACTTAATCAACATTTATTAAGTGCCTGCTATGTGCCAGGCACTGTGCCAATTGATTGGGATATAAAAGGAGGTAAAAGATAGAACCTGAATTTTTTCAAACTGTCAAACGATGAGACTGGACTCTGCTGTTGGAGGGAACCTCCAACTCCAATCTAGGATCCTTTGATGGGGAAAGTCAGTTTCCCTGGGTTTGGATATCACTTTTCTCATGGGTAAAAGGGGGGCAAAAGTCCTTTTTTCTGCCTTTTTGTAGAGTTTCTGTAAGAGGATGAATGTGGAAGTATGTTATAGTTCTCAGTAACATAGCTAGCATAATATATTGCTTTAAGATTTGCAAAGTCATGGCATGTCAAAAAAAAATTATTAAGCTCCTACTTTGTGCCAGGCACTGCACTACCCACTGGCAATATCCACACAGTCCTTGTCCTCATGGAGTTCCCAGTCAAATGGGGGAGACACATACAGACATTACAAACAAGCTATAGACAGTATAAACTGGAAATAATCAGTAGAGGAAAGGCAATATAGCATTAAGGGAAATCAGGAAAGGCTCCTTGCTGAAAGTGGGATATTGTGTAGGACTTGAAGGAAGCCAGGAGGCAGAGATGAGGAGGAAGATTGCTCCAGCAATGGTGGGGGGGAGGGGGAACGACAACGAACGTTTTATATAGCTTGTCTCTTTTAATCCTCACAACCATCCCCTTTTGTGGGTCAGAGGTGTCAAAGTGAGGCCAACTGCTGCAGGTGACTCTAAATACTGCCTAATGGAGTCCAAATCAGATTAAAATGTACTGGGGAACTATTTAACAAAATAACTAAAAACATAATAAAACATAGATAATGTTAATTTGTGGTTTTCTAAGTCAATATGCAGCTAGCAGGGATCCTTCTGCTAGGTTTTCTTGCTGTGGCTCAGTAGTGCCTGGTTCCTAGAGATCTCAGTTGGGGTTTTCTTGCCAGAGATACTGGAGTGGTTTGCCATTTCCTTCTCCTGCTCATTTTACAGATGAGGAAACTGAGGCAAATAGGGTGAAGTGACTTGCCCAGGGTCACACAGCTGGTAAGTGTCTGAGGTCGGATTTGAACTCAAGATGTGATTCTTGTTGCCTCCAGGCCCCGGGTTCTATGCACTATGTTGCCACCTACTTTCCCCTAATTATAAACAACCTTATTATCCTCTCATTTTGCAGATAAGGAGATTGGAAGCCAGAGTTGTCCAAGGTCAGGCAGTGACATGAAGTGACAAAGCTAGATTTGAACCAGAGACTTCAGTAGTTCAGTCCCAGTTGCTAGGTCC